TTCAGACAACTTTCTGTTTTGTTCAGTGGATCCTGGCATGAACCCTCAATCCTCTTGCACCAGGGGATTGGTGAAATCAGAGGTAGTTAAAAGAAATGTTTCTGATCCCATTCCTTGGTTATGTTCTTTTTGTCAGAATTCTGTCTGATTGGAGACCTCCCATTTTCCGTGGTGTCCAAGATTTATCACTCATCCGCGCTGAAATGCAAACTTCTTTGTGCCCAGGTCTTTATCGTAATGACCAAGCATGATCCAGGCTTTGTCTACAGTGGCTTAGAGTTTAAATAGAATCAGCATCATCTATATTGCCAGTTCCCTTAGGCTCTGTAGACAAAACTCCTGAACTGACCTCACTTGGTCTCCCCGCCTTCAGGGTGATATACTGGCAGAAGTAGTTTTACATTTTCTGTTTTTCAAAATTGTAATAAAATACGTACAACATAACATATACCATTTTAAGTATTCAATTAATGATATTGTACAACCATCACCCCTATTCATTCTTAGAATTCATTATTCCCAATGGAAATACTGTGCCCATTAAACAATAATTTTCCCATTCTCCTCTCCCAATACCTGAAAACCCCTATTCTATGTTCTGTCTCTATGAATTTTTCAATTCTAGACACTTCATATAAGTGCAATTGTATGATATTTGTCCTATATCTGGCTTATCTCACTTAGCAAAATGTTTTCAGTGTTTATCCATGTTGTAATATGTATCAGAGTTTCCATCCCATCTAAGGTGAAAAGTGTTCTTCTGAATAGATATACCACAATTCTTTATTCATTCATCTGCGATGAACATTTGGGTTGTTTTCATCTTTTGACTATTGTGAATAATGCTGCCATGAATATTGGTGTATAAGTATTTGAGTCATTGTTTTCGCTTTTTTTGGCTGTATACCTGGGGGTGGAATTACTAGATCATATAGTTACCCATGTTTAACTTTTTGAGGAGCAATTGAAGTGTTCTTTCTCCATTGAAACTTTTCATTTTATGTCCCTACCAGCCATTCACAGGGTTCCAGCTCTGGTCTGTTTGTTTTGACTTTTTTTTTTTTTTTTTGAGTGGTTTTTACTTTAGGGCATGAGCGCTCACCAGAAAGAGAGAGACAGAGAGACAGAAAGTGAGAAATTATCCCCCAGAGT